CCATCCATCCATCCATCCATCCATCCATCCATCCATCCATCCATCCATCCATCCATCCATCCATCCATCCATCCATCCATCCATCCATTTTCTAACACGCTTATTCCAAATAAAGACTACCTGGGATGTGGATGGAAAAGATTGTTAAGATTTTGAAAAAGTTTTGTTGGTTTGAATAATCTTTTGGTTTTTTTTTTTAAACATGGTGTTGTCTAAAATAAACTATATGCACAAATATCAGAGTATTCTGGTTCCTGTGATATTAAACAAAGTGTGTGTAGAACCTGTAGTTGTGAGAGAAAGAACACGATACTTGGACTCCCCCTACAGTCCAGATCATCAACCTATGTTGATATCACATTGGTGGGTTTGTGTAAAGCTTTCCTGTCTCTCTCGATCACTGTGGTGACTCACAGCACAGAAATACACTCCTTCATCTTGGGGCTCCAGGTTCTTCACTGTAAACGTTCCACTCTCAGCAACAGTTTTGGTGGCTGAAAATTTCTCTTCACTAAAGCTTCCAAAATCATGCTTGATCTGGCCTTTGGTGGTGAAAACGATGAGTTTCATAGTTTCTCCCGGCAGCTGTCTGTACCAGTACATCTGGAAGTATAAGTCACCCTTGGTGTGGCTACAGTCTATTGTTGCATTTTCACCCATATTTTTCCACAAAAAGGGGGTCTGGGTGACATCACTCCCAGTAGTAAAACCTGAGTATAACAAAAAATGTTACACACCATTAGCCTACTGCAGTTCTGAGATATATTAAATTGAATACTTATTTTTAATTACCTGAGCTCCATAATGATGATGCCAATAATTGGAAGATAGCTTGTTTTATGATGAACCTATTCATCTCTGGGAGGTTTGAAAATCCCCCTCTCTGATCTAGTTACAAAAATACAAACGCTTCAAAAAGGGGAGGGCTGAGTTTGCGACATGGTCCTTTTAGCTGCTGTCCAATCAACAACAAAACTACATAATGGAATACATGGTTAAAGAGATCCACCTTTGTTCCTACGTGCCCTATTGATACCTGATGTTTTGCATTATTGGTAAATATTTTATGAAATGGGCAAAACAACAATGTGATGAAAAGATTTTTGCAAGACTTTGAGTCACTGGTTTTATATTGTTTCTACTTGAAGATTTGCAAATATGGATGTTTTATATTAGTTTTATTTCCATATTAAAGAATATATTTGGGCTTTATAGCTTTATTGGAATAAAAATACACAATATCAGTTAAGTTTTCAAATTGCAATCCTACACAGTGAGATTTGGGAATTCTTGAGATAAAGAGACCACAGACAAACAAGACCACAACTTTTGTCTCAGAGAGAAATTTTACAAGCAATCTAAATTTCTATGCCTTAAAGACCTGCCAAGTCTTAGTTATCGGGGGGCCCAATGTATTGTGTCTTGCCTCAATTCACCTGACTCAAATATTGGCTCATTGTGTTGTGAATTGGTACAGTAGAAGTTAACTGATTTTAAACTGTATTGAATTGAACATGCAAACAGCATATTCTAGGGCCAGATTATATGTGTGCATTAGCCAATTCGCCCAGGCACATAGGGAAGATTGAAACTACTAATCTAGTTGATGGGATTAATCAGTATTTATGTATAAATAAATAAAATATTTATAAATAAATTGTGATCAGCTACATCAAATGCAACTGTGAGATCTTACTGGTATAATGACAAGTACAGTCACAATGCCTCAACATATCATTAATGATCCTCACCAGTGCTTTTCTAAGGGCTGTGATGAGCTCTAAAACTTGATTGAAACTTTTTAGACCGATCATTGGTGTGGAAATACTCACTACAGTAACTTATTTAAGACTAGTTTCTTATTGCAGTATTTTTCCTGTCACAGTAACGGGTATGCTGCTGTGATGCCATTAATATTTTGTATAACCTACTTTTAGAAAAAGGACAGCACTTTCTCTTCTGCTGTGAAATCTCTTTATTTCTTATGGCTTTTCTATTAAGTTTTGTTCTAAATACCAGGTTTGCATTGAAGAAGGTTGTTTTTTTGTGGATTTTGTTCATATATTTCATCTTACTATTAGAAAAAAAAACAAGTGATTAATGATTTTCTAGTTAAAGATGAAAACGACAATATGAAAAGCACAATTTTATTTATTTTCATTATTAAAACCTTTTAGTCATTTCAAAGACTTTATTAGGACTTTAAAACAGTTCAAATGAGAAAACACACTCATCATTTACTGTAGTCGTTAGTTTCTTTTTCACATATTTAGGAATTTATTTACATTTTTTAGATTTTGGTTTCAAATCTAACTTGACTTGTACTGCATATATGTAAACTGCAAAAGTAGATTCAAATATGTTTCATCTATTGCATGTAAATAATGTATTCTTCTGCTGACTACAGGATGATACTGCTGAGATTATCTTAGTTTGTTAAAAAGGCAACAGTTGTATTGTTGGCGACCGATACAGATGAAAGAAGGTTTTTGCACTGACTTTCTGCACATGTACAACACTGTGCCCTCTTGGCAGCACAGAAATACACTGCGTTGTCACTCAATGTAAGATCAGATATGTTGAGACTGGATTGTTTGCTGCCATCTCCATTAAAGTTGATTTTTCTTTTAACATCTTCCTCAACACTAGGATATCTCAGATTTATATATCCCAAGAGCTTCAGAGCTTTGTGCTGATCTTGTTTGTACCATAGAATGACCTCATAATTTGGTATGTTGTGTGAACAAATGATTTCTCCATCCACAGACTGGCCAGGTTCCTTAATAATGAAAGGAGGGGTTTGGTCAACTTGTTTGGAGTCAGCAGCGCCTGTGGGGAAGCAGAAAACTCTTTCAAATGGAGGAACTTTTACAAACTGTATTGTTGTAATATAAAAAAAAAGGTGTTTCTCTTACCGTAAATTTCAGGTGTACGTGAAAAAATAAAGAAGCAGACGATAAAGATCATGTTGAAGAATCGGAGATGTGATCCGGTTAGGCTAAATCTAAATTCAGGTCCTGTTTGTTTAGCAGCAGCATCAGTATTAAACCCACTGACAGTGGGAGGTGTTAAAAAAAACTTCTGTATCACTGTGTCTTAGTAGGTAAAGTTAAAAGAAACAAGAAATCTGGGTCTACTGCAACAATTTTATTCATTTAACATATTATGTTAACAAGACATAACACACTTGACAAGTGGATTTAGAACGTTATTACTTTTATTACTTAGTTTTCCCCCATTATATATATTTCAAACTGTAGTTTGTAATATCTCTGCATCATAATCAAACCCATAACTGACACATTTAGAGGAAGACTGCTGCAGGTGGGGTTTGTTAAATTCTTTGTGGTGAGACCCAGACTCTAAAGGAGATCAAAAGCTCTTGGTTGTATGGCTGGTAAATATGCACATGATTAAGTTTTATTTCTCACAAATATTTGAGCAATTACAGTATATTCCAGATTCGTCTCAGTAAACAATCCACTTGACCAACCAAAGGCATTTATTTAGTCAATGAAAATCTTAGTACTTTGAATCACCAGTCTTGAATCACCAGTCATCTTCCTTTTAAGCTTTTCTGGCAAATACAATTCGTTTAACTCCAGGCCTTTCCCATTCATCTAATGAGAAGAACGTTTGGTATGGCTACAGTCTATTGTTGTGTTGTCACCTTGGCTTTCACAAAGAAATAGAACATTGTTAACATCACGTCTATCAAAATTATGCTAACTTTATAGAAAGAAAATCTTAGAATAAGAGTCCTCATGTGGAGTACTACGTCAGTGGAAGTTGTAAAGATTCTGTTTTCTGGCAGAGATAGAGGTAACCATATTATTTTAGAGAGACGGTGTCAGTCTAATTAAAAAGTTACACAGAAAACATGTTGGAGAGTCTGTGGAATATCACCCTTTAAACAACACTTTTACGGATAAAAATAGTACTTTGGTTCCCCCTACTGACATGTTTGTGATCAAGTTAACCTTCATGGATACCTTCATGCATTTTTATTTATGTTTTCTAACTATGGTTGAATTTATGGAAAGCACTAAATAAATTACAGAACTGTATGTTCCAACTACATTTATAAGACTCTTGTTCAAAATTGAAATTAGAAAACGAGTGATGTGAAAAAAAGCTATTTTTAATCAAAGACAAAAAAATGTTGATAAAGTAAGAATTGCTCTTTAGAGGTTTGTGGGCGACTTTTTAAAAATCTATTTTAATTTAGTTTTTAAAAGGATTTTTAAATCATTCATCCCTCGCCCTCCTCGCATAGCTTCTAGTTTTGGCCTGTACCCCACTCTACACTCTCCACAGTGTTCAAACTCCCCTGTTAGCCTCCAGAACTAGACTCAGACGTCCACACCCTCTGCCCGGCTTTGGTTACATTGACAGAGCATCTGGGTCAGATGTACTGCTATCGTCCTCCAAACCCCCAAATTGAGTTTTTGAGACCTTGCCAGAACAAGACAGAGTACCCCACCCTGGAAAGAAAGCTAACAGCAGGAGATGTAAGGTCCTACTTTTATTTTATTATAATAAAATCTTTGCCTACAGTATGTTCGTTTTTGTGATTAGCTCAAACAATGGAGTTATCTAAATCAAAGCTTGTAAAAAATTGTTTTGTGCATCAAGTCACATCAGGTCTCAAGAATCCACACACAGTGCAGTGAAGTTTGAAGAGTTGATGTCCCTTTCAATTCAAGAACACACATATTAATTCATTAATGAATAGTACCTGAATAGCATTTGAATGGAAAGTGACTGGAAACTGGCAGGCATTCAAATAAATGAGATGACTTTAAGTGACTCCCTTGTATGTATTGAACAAGATATGGATATGATAAATGTTTGGAAAAACAAAACAAAACGTTGTATGTTAACTGCATTGGATGAGAACATTACAAAAGCTTTCTCAGCCCAGGTAATCTCATATAGGAGCAGGATATTACTACTTGTCCTGCAGAGGCTCCTGTTATAAATGTAAAAATAAATATAAATATAAAAATATCTGTGGTGAGGTAATATTAAGAACTTCAATAGTCATAAAGATTGGCAGAACATGTGGCATTGATTTTTATAAACTTTAGTGAAGTTTTAAAACAACCTCAAATTAATTTTTTATGTACATTTATAATAAAATTGTTTAGAATGCCAATTAAGATTGATTTTAGAAAAAAAATAAATAAATAAAAATTTACATGTAACTGCTTAAAGTCGTACAGTAGGAAAATCATATTTTAATGTCAAATAATTTTTTTAAATCCTGTCTTAAAATCTGTGGGGGTTTTTTTCTTTTTGTTTTTCGTTATCTTATACAGGCCAGTTAGTTATACGTCAGCCTGTACACCTAAATTTGGCCAATTAAATATCAACGGTCATCTGTCAATCAATCAATCAATCATTTTTTTTCGGTCATAGCATCTTGATTCATATGTCGCAGCTAATATACGCAACGGTTGAAATAAAAATAAGAATCATTTACTTTACCATTGAGTTCCGTCCCAGTGTTCACAGGGATGGACGTCTGTGTCTTCGGCAGGCATAGAGCTAACAGAACAGAACAGCAAACATGAGGCAAGGGCTCAAACATGTGCGGCTGTAAGCCTTCTACACCTAACAAAGCTTCTGCCGCCCTGGCGTCCTCTTCCACAACATCTTCGTCCCCGCTATCCTCCTCTAAATAAAAAATTTATGAAGGAGGAGACTCATCCACGACCTCTGACACAAAACTCTCCTTCTCTTGCATGTTTCCACTGTCCATAGCGTTCCTTGACAGTGTTGTTTCTAAGTCACCAATTAAGTGCTACTTGGTCCCAATGGAATTTCCCATTGGTAACCTACTCCCTACTAACCAGTTACAGTAGCAAGATGCTTCCGAGGCACCGGCCACAATCAAACTTGCTTGCAAACCTGCCACAACAATCCTGCCCTCTTGATAAACGATCAATCACATTAACTTTATTCACTCGTGTAAAGTCTGGCACCACTGGAGAAAATTTGGAAATACAACGGTTGGAACAGCCGTTTCCCTACGACTTTAAGGTGACTTGTATTACAGCTGTAGTGGAGGATTTTCACAAATTTTTGAAGACTCCACTTAAAAAAAAATGCATATGCACAACCCTGTACCCACTCCCGAGATGCATGCAAGAGCATCCCCAAACCCATTTCTACTTGTGTACGCTCTGTTTAAAAGTTGCTGTTTGCATCGCTCATTCAAGCTTACTTTCTGAAAGATTTGCAATTTTTCCACTATGTCAGACTCACCCCCATTAAGTGAAAATTTGATATTTGATGAAAAGGAGCTTTTTTTGAGGTGTGGTGAACCTCCATAGAATATCCAAAACATGAATAAATGAAAATTAATTCTATAAAATTCTATTAACATATGAGAAACATTTCTTATTTTGGCAGGCTGAGCTAAAATTCTATCGGTTTTTCCTGGATCATCATGGAGAATAAATGAGTGGCTCTTCAGGTAAAAGTGTTGAACCCGCTGCTGTTGTGAAGTGGGATTCCTTCTGCTCCTCTGAACTCCTCTGCAATGTCATCAAACGTACGGCCTTTTGTCTCTGGGAGGCGGAGCCACATGAAGGCGAAGGCGAGCAGAGCCACGGCCATAAAAATCAAGTAGACGTATGACCCACAGAGCTTCTGTAAGAAATTGCAAAAAAAATGACATTATTACTGCATTTATTGAGTTTGATTACAACTTTAAATAACTTAATGGGTCTTGAAGGATTTAACATCATAAAACTTAAAAAAGCTATAAAACATCTAATTCAATAAGTAAATTGTTTTATTCTAAGCTCTCAAATACAGGCTGAACTTCAATATGTGTTTAGTATAAACAGACTGAACATGTTGATAGACTGTGTTTGACTGTGGAAGGTGGAAGATGTAAAGTCCAAGACATTCAGCTCTCTTTAGTCTGGTTAGGTCCTCCTGGATGTTTAACTTACCAGTAAAGGAGGAAAGAGAAGCGCAAGCAAAAACTTTCCTCCCCAGTTGACCATGCTGGTGAAGGCCATGGCTATAGGTCTTCCAGGCTGGTCGAACAGTTCGGCAGCAATGAACCAGGAGATGGGACCAGGACCCAGTTCGTAAGCCGATACCACACAGAACACCAGCAGGACCTGCAGGTTCCGTAGCTCTGGAACCAGGTGCTGTGCAATAGAAGTAAATGTTACACTAGAAGTGACAGATGGCTTGGATTTAGTTTTGTAGAATAGAACAGATTTCTACTTTATTATATTACATTGTCACAAGTACTCTCTGCATTTAACCCATCCCTTTGCAGAGCAGTGGGCTGCAATTGTGCAGCGCCTGGGGAGCAGTGTGGAGGTTAAGGGTCTTGCTCAGGGACCCTGAGTGGCAGTCAGTGGGAGTGTGGCTTGAGGTCAGAACCTCTGGGATCCAAGCGCAATGCTAACCACTAGGCCACCACTTAAAGACACTTGACAAGCACAAACAATCATTCCGTTATGCCATAATGTTCAATAGTCTAGACAGGTTTTGTTGGCTGGGTCCACACTTGGACTATATATATATATATATATATATATATATATATATATATATATATATATATATATATATATATATATATATATATGCATGACTGCTGCCCCAATAGACTGCTGCTCCAATAGAGACAATCCTACATTGTAATAACCAGTTATGTTGGATTAAAAAGAAAAAATATGACATTAAGAGAGGAGAGGAAAAAGTGGATCCTAATCAGGGCTTGGAAAATCATTCATTTGAAAGATCTGATTCATTCTTAAATAAAACACCAGCAGCGCAGTCTGTAGGTCCAATTAAAATGAATCCTAAACAGCAGTCTTGGTTTGTCTATCCGAGCCCAAACCAACCTTTATCACATTTAAAGATCAGTTAGAATACAATAGAAATCTGTGTGTGAGAGTGACAAAAGCATACAGCCAAAGATTTTACTTTAAAATATATGTGCATATATATATATATATATATATATATTATGTTCAATATTAAAGAATCTAAGTGTTGAGGAATGCTGGATTTATTTCAAAAGCAAGTGTGTTTGTCATTTGGTCTCTTTAACATTTTTATTTTGTAAGGCTCACACATCAGTATTATCAATAGTATCAATTAATATCTGAAAAGCTGACTTTTTGTTGAGCCGAGCCCAAAAATCCAGAGTTCACAACCTGTTTACTTCAAATTTTAACCTTTTCTTTCAGGATACATAAATAAAAAGTAGCCTACTGGCAAACCTTAAATAACCAATCATATGTCTGAGGACGTTCAAAGTTCAGAAATGAGCTGGTTCTAGAGACAAAAGCTAACAATTAGACAACTGAAGACTTTTCTTAAATATCTGTGTTTATTCAAATCACAGGCAGATCAGTCTTCGGTAGGAAAAACAAAAGTTGCCCATGGACATCCAGTGTTTCAGAGAAAGTTTTTTTTTTTTTTTCATTAAAACCTAACCTAGTCAGTGTTTTATTTTAATGGTGTGCTTAAACAAGCACAAAAGTCATCAAACTAGAATAGACTTACCAGAACAGAATCAATGATGGTCATAAGTAAATTGCACACTCCTATGGAGAGGAAGCCAATCAGCAGCAACTTCCTCCTTCCTGCCCTCTCCACATAGAAGAGCTGTAGATAAATAAGAACAGTAATTCTCATTAACCAAATACATGTTAACAAAACTTGTCATGCTTTGCATTACTTTGTAATGACTTCCTAATATATTAAAATGGAAAACAAAAGACAGGATCTGCTCTGATCTCAATTTAAGTTAAAGATCACGCATGAAGGTTTATGTTGGAGTGTGCAGCAGTAAATGTCAGCTTCATTCATATAAGCACAATATGGGGCTCTGGGTCCATTGGTTTTAATATGGGTCAATTTAATTATTGATTTTTATTCAGCCAATCATAATTATCAAATTGAGGATATACTGTATGAAACTGGACTGCGTTTGATTAACTGGAGACAGTTTAGGTAGAACATTAAATACAAAAAACTCAAGACCATCATGTACAGAGATTCAACCGAGCTGGCTGTGTGGATATATGATGTTAAAAGTATTTTAATATATTTGTTATGAGTAGTATTCAGTACACCTGTCATAAGCCAGATTTATACATATAGTTCAATTTGAATTCTCCACAGTATCAATCTGGAAAGGCTCCTGTGGAAAGTCTTCGCAAAAAAGGTAGTAACATTTTTTGGTAAATCACCAAATGGCATCTGGCTCTCATGTCGCCCATTGCAGCAGCTCTTGCAGCAGTGATGTATCACATCCTTGATTGGTTTCACAACCAGCAGAGTTTACTGAAAAATCAAACTCTGATCAAATCCAGTCAGGAAGAACACGCAAAAAACCAAAATTCTATCCACAAAGGTACAAATCACATTGTTTTGCTCGCTTTGAAAAAAGGAAAGCGGATATTCCAGCTAATGCAGATTGAATACCAGATTCTACATAGTAACACCAGTGCAGCCATGTTTGTTTTGATTCAGCCAGGCTTTTCTGCTTGACGTCATACAAGTTTCTGCATTTCATTGCAGAAATTAAATCTTCAAAATAATATATGGTGGTGATAACAAGTAGGCTGAATCTTAGTCCTTGTCAGGGTCGGTACAGTAGTTAAGCCGGTGTCTCAGGCAATCTATAGGAGAGAGGAACAGCCTGGACAGGTCCACAAATATTGTATGGTGAAATATTGCAATATTCAATAGGATGCATTTATTTATGTATTTCCCTGAAACCCCAAATAACAAGTCAGTTTATCCCAAACTTAGATGTTACTAGTCCATATGTGCTCAGGTAGCATTCTGGCTTATTTCTCAGGTATGTTGGAGTACTTTCACTAAGTTTGGAGTCAATTTGTACTCACAGCAACTAAAGTGAAGATGAGATTGACAGCTCCCACCCCTAGAGTCAGATATTTGGCCTCATCAAAGTTGGCCTGAAACATCTTAGTAGAGTAGTTGATAATCTGGGGGAAAAAAGAAAAGATAAATCATAACAAAAGTAATTTCCCTCTGGGATTATTAAAGTATTTCTGATTCTGATTCTGATTCTGATTCTGATTCTGATATTTATTTCAAGACCAAATAAAGCAGGTAAAATCCTATTTTCTTTTAACTGTTGCCTTTTATGAAATATACAATTTTTGAGTATAATCTCTGAAAGTTATGAATAGGTGTTTTCCATGGTGACTTACTGCATTGAATCCAGAAAGCTGGCTTCCTATGTTAATGAGGAGAACAATAAGGATTGGTTTCCTGTAGCTCTGTTTGTGGAGGAAATCCCGGATGGTGACGCCAGTCTGTGTGTGTGCAGCCTCCTCCTTTATTTCTTCCAGCTCACGGGACACTTTGTCAGGATGACCTCTCAGTCTCAGCAGGGCTTAAGGATGAAGATATATCAAAAATCTTATGGAATTTAACACCAAACATTCAACTCAATCTAATTTTAGTTGCATTTTTGTCTTTTGATGGTTTTAAGTTTCTATTAAAACAACCTAAGTCCAATCAATTAACGTCTGTCAAAGAGCAAAAAAAAAAAACAAAAAAAAAAACATTTAGCTAAGTTTAACAATTTTCAACATAATAAAGATAGTACATCATGTCATTAAATCATCTTAATTCACTCTGGTGTAGATTTTTTTCACAGTTTATTTGATCCAATGGCAGCTTCTGGCAAACATTACAAACAAGCATTACTTGTTCAGGCTTTTTCTAACAGTTCTATTAGATATTTAACATGGTTTCTGTGGTGTCTAACAAGTAGCTGTTGGGTTTTTAAAATTCCTCTTTGCAGTTTGAAATCATTTTTAACTTGCTTTGACATAGAAAACTATTACCATTTGAAATATCATGATTAGAACAAAATTATTTAAGAGCAGCTTTAAAACCCTGTTCACATTAATGGTCAGCAATATCTGCTTCTTTATTAGTAATACAGAGGTATCTGTCTCCAGTGATCTTACCAAGAGAGGATGAGCTACACCTTAGAAAGGAAATATTTAACCCATCATGCATATTTTTGGACTGTGGGTGGAGTAATCAGAGATAACCAATCCATGCACAGGTAGAACATGTAAACTCAACACAGAAAGATCCCAGGCAGGGATTTAAATTTGTCTTGCAATAAAAGTTTTTTTGTTGTTTGTTTTTTTTCTGTCTTAGGTCAGTAAGATTCTAAAACAATATGGCTCTATAAATTGTGGAAGATGTGGCCTTTTTAAACTCTGTTCATAACAATAATCTCTAAACCTACCCTCAATCTACTTAGGTTGTATGTTAGGTCCTTTTTCATGGTCACTCCTGAATACTGATTTTTTTTTTTACCTTAAGTCATTTTGCAACCAATTTGAATTTATGTTAAATATTATAAGTCTTTCGGTTTACCTATTTGCATCCAAGTTTTAGATTTCTGGCTATTGTTTTATGTTGTTTCTTCAATATTTGCACACAATATTCTTTCCTAATGATTTCCTCTATTTTGTTAAGGGCGCAACTTGCATACAAAATATTCCTACAGATATATTTTCTCCTAAAATTATGGTATTTTATAAGGGGAAAC